TGTAATGGAAGACAAATATACTTAAAGATACACTCATATCTTTTTACTCCCTTTCTTATGCCCAGAACTCATCAACCTATGTTTCATGCTCTTGTATAGTCTTCTAAGTGTAGACTCCTGATTAATCGTCATTAACCAGAATAATGAACAAATACTTACTCTTTTAAATAAGAACCAATAATTTTGAGGTTGGAAGGTATCTCAGAAATCAACTAATAGAACTCTCTTATATTACCTTGTGGAAACTGAAGCAGAGAGAGGGAGGGAGGGGGAGAGCAGAGAGAGGATTGGGGGGGGGCGGGCACAGAGACTTGAATAGGGTCACAAAATGCATCAGCAGCTGAGCAGGATTAACACCCAGGCCTCCTAACTCCTAGTACGAACTTTCAATATGTTTACATTTATGCTTTTGCACATGGAGTAAATGCAAAGGAAGAAAGAATGTGCATTTTTAGACATACACTGAGCACACATCTTTCAGCCTGGATGGTTCTGAAATAGGTCACACTTACCTCAGAATAAAGGGAATCATGGGCCAAAACAGCTTCCAGTTTTTCTCTCCTTCTCTGCTCCTTTCCCTCCCCTCAAAAATTCAATCAAGAAAACATCAAACCTAAGAAATGAATCTAGGCAAGAAGTCAATAGCTGAAGTAGAGAGTCATGAAAGATAGAGGCATTAATTAAAATTATGGAAATATGATTAAAATGTAATTTTTTTCCTGAGAGACGTAAGGTAACTAATGCATCTACTTGCTTCTCTTTGCTTCCCCCAAGGATTGCCTGTTAAACTCTAGGGCAGTGCTACTTACCCAAGGATTTAGTATTCTGTGAATGTTGTTAAGATTTGAATTCTAACAATTTTTTTCATCAATTTGCTTAAAATGCAGGGAAATATTGGTACATTATTAAACATAAAGAATATCCTAAGATTTGGGAACTTGAGCCCCTATTAAAGCATTGGATTACATCATTTATAGAGTTTTAAATATGTTTAAATTCAAAGTGAAGAGAAAGTCCATAAGAAACACTACATGTTATCTGTTGATGTCCAATGGCAATCTCACAGTCCAACATTTTATTCCTAACAGTAAACATCTTTTATTCTTTCAAAATTAGACTGTAGTTTGCCTGTTACATGCTAAAAGGTCTGCATTTCATTATCTATGTGTATGAGTTACCTCCCTGTTGGGAAGTTAGATGTTTTAAAAAATACAAGCATGCTTTAGAATTACAGAAAATTTTGTTTGTACGAAATCGGAACACAGGGGAATGGTTTTCAAGATTGTTCTTTTTTTCTAGTTAGAATTGTCTGTTTTCATAGTCATGCCCTAAACCGTCTGGTATAATGCTGGAAATGAACTTTGGAAGGAGGAAACACACATGAATTAAGTTTGTTTAACAGGCAGCAAAACTAACCTTGCTTTGAAGGTTAACTATATCATAATTCCTAACATTTCTTGAATGTTCACTCTGTGTGGAGCCATATGCTTTAAGACATCCAAATATCATCTCATTTAATCTTCATAACTCTGAGATAGTTAACATTTTAATCCCCATTTTTCAGATGAGGAATTTCAGTGCTAAAAATGTTGGGTAACTTAGTCAAGGCAATAGCAGATGGAGTTGAAATTTGAACCAAGACAGTCTGAATCCAGAGCCTATGATCTTAGTCACTGTATCATAATGCCTCACTTAGGTATTGTGGTTCAGGAAATTGAAAAAAGAATAAACACACACAAGCACACACGCCCACATATACACACTGTTACGTATATAATTGCTCTTACGTTTACGTTTCTGTGTATATCTGCCAGATATATCAGAGTCATTATGAGCAATCATCTTGAAAACCATTTTCAGGATATCAAACTGATGCTTGGCAGACTCCAGGCTTCACTGTGGCCCAGCCTGGATATCACAGCCTTGGCAACAGACTGTTCACTGTACATCTCAGATCTGCTTTCATGTAGACAGCAGGCATTAGAGAGCCCAGAGATTAAACTGAGTGCAGTTCACTTAGAGGAGGCATAAGTCAGCTGAGGTTTACTGTATTGTAGTAACACTGCCAGTGTTGAAAATGACCACGTCCCAAACTCTTCCCATAGGAGTGGCTCAAGTGTTAAATAGACTTGATGGGAAACCTTTTGATGATGCAGATCAACGACTGTTTGAGGTAAGAAAATACATTTGTGAACCAAGGGTTGTGGCTGCTAGTTGCAGCTTGCCCATTTGTAAAGATAAATCATTGCTAATCAGCTGTCGTTATACTGAACTGATGTGACAGAATTAAAAGGAAGATTTAAAGAATATATCAATGCTTAGGTTAATGTGAGTCTATTTTTCACTAATTAGATTATTTTTAACCACTGATTATTTAATATTAATTTTATTATGGAATTGAATCTCCTCATCCCTGCAAAGTGTTGGTGGTCTTAACCTTGTGCTGCTTGCTTTGTGTTCAGTCTTGAGACCTGTGCCAGACGTCTGGCCATCACCTTTCCTGTTTACAAGCTTCTGTGTAGTCCAGTCTGCCCTCTAGCTGGAGAGATTATCTTTGAATGGGCTTCCTCATAGACTTTGTACCAGTGGCCACCCTGAAAACCTCATGATTATTTTCTGCTAGGCTAGAATACCTCCTAGCTTTTTACGAAATGGTTCTAAATCTATCTTCCTTTCCCTTATCATTTACCTTATGAGTACACTCACTTGGTTTCTTCACCAATATTTTATAGCTTAGCTAATAAAAGAAGTTGCTTTTGCTTAAATGGAATGGAATTACTAAAATCAGTCCACAACCTAAATAAATTAAGAACACATTTAAGACTCTAAGTATGGCTTTAAATATATAAAGTCATTTCTTCACAATGACATTAAATTAATAATTTTTCTCCTGTGCAGTGTGAGCTATAAAACTGTTACATGACAATAGTAATTAAGAATTTTAATGTGCATATTTCCCCAAGGCCTATCTCTGTGTACAATAAAATTATATTTTCAGAGCCATCCCTGATGATTGCCTGCTTTCATATAAGATTATGCCACTGAGTTATTGCAAGTTTTAATTGCTGGACTTTCTCTTTTCTAGGCATTTGTCATCTTTTGTGGCCTTGGCATCAACAACACAATTATGTACAATCAAGTGAAGAAGTCCTGGGCCAAGCAGTCTGTGGCTCTTGACGTAAGTCAGTATTTATATCAGAATCATATGCTAAGAAGTTCTGATTTTATTAGGAAAAGAAATCCTTGGTATGGGGCTTAATTTCTCAATTTTTAATAATCTACTTATTGGGTTAGAGTCATGGGTTTGAATTTGATGAAAGCTAGAGACCCTCTCTGGAAAAAATGCACATATGCACATAATTTTGCATATATTTTTAGGGAGCTCATGGATCCCTTGAAGCCCATCCATATATGTTTCACAGTTAGATATAGATTTTAAATATTAGTTTATTAAATGTAACGATGCAAAAGTAATTTTTCAGGAATTTAAATGTATTATTGATTTATTTTGAATATGTACAGATTGTCTGAAAATTCACAACTTTTCTTACATTAGGGGAAAAACCTCACTATAAAGATAATGTGACCCAGATGGGGGTAATTGCTCCTGTCATTATCCAGCTACCTCCACCCGCCTCTCACACACACACACACACACACACACACACACACACACACCACACGTACAGACATACACATCCCACCGAGAGCTCCAACCTGTTTTCTCTGCCTGAACTGTATCTCATCGCAGACTTACTAAGTCCTAAAATAACAGTTCTTATCTCCCTGAATCCCACCTTGTTTTGACCCAAGACCTATTTTCTCTTCCAGCTTCTGGCAGTATGTATTATCAAAGATTTTGTTTATGTCTATGAAATAGTAAGTAGAATGGAAAAAAGATCACACAATATATGATATTATGTAGACCGATATGATGTAATACATGTGCTATATGATGTAATACATGTGCTATCTTCAAAATATTCTGTGTATCAAGACAAATATTCATAGAAAGAGAAAACCAAGGGAGAGGACAGGTAGGCAAGTCAAGGGTACCTGCAGAACTTGATTTTGAGGTTTAAAAGACATACAACTATGGTTACTTATGTGTATATTTCTTTTCACTAGACCATGAACTCTGGAAGCGCAGGGATTTTTGTCTTTTTTATATAATCTTATCCCCAGTGCCTAGCAGGGAACCTACCACAGAGAAGGTGTTTATTAGATGGTGTTTGGATGGATGGAAAGGGTGGGAAAGAAGTAGAAGAGAAAAGTGGAAGCAGGGGATTTTTTTCCTCTCCCTTTGAGATGACCCTGCTTTGTAACATCTTTACAGTAAAGAATAAAAATAGTATCTATCAGATGAATTAATTTGTAAGTGAACTGCAAACATGCAAACAGTCACTAAGAATCACTAAAAGAGCATTAAGGTCTATGTGCCAAACTGCTTTCAAATCCTGGCTCTTGTCAATTGTGAAAATTAAATGGGATGATGCATGAGAAGATTTTAATACACAGTCAATAAAATTATAGTAATAACAATCATTATGTTATTATTGCAGTAATATATTTATTACTGAGAAATCACTAGAGATTGTGAGAAAGAGCAAAGGACAGGAATTTGGAACAGGAAACGATGTCATGACTCCTTTACTGTCTTCAAATTCTTATCTCCACAGAGTTGCCTTACCAATTGTTTCTTAGTTTCTGTAACTGTAAAAAAGGAACACTATACAGTTGTCCCACATAAACCCTACTCCATATTGTCGTGTTATAATTCACACACACACACATACACACACACACATACACACACACACACCATCTCATATCTACCCACATTCTCACTCCTTACCTACATCCTAGTGGAGCTTCATCCTGTTGAGAAAGGGCTAGAATAACTGGGTTGAAGCGTGAATGGCTGTGTACCAGAGACAGACAGAACTTTCACCGCCACCACTTCCTGATCCCTGCCTACTGCCCAAGGGGCACAGTCCCCATTACCTGTAAGTGCTATAGTCAGTCTCCTCACACATGAATCACTCACTTGGTGCCATGATGAATGCCTTCTTGTTTGTGTAACTCAGAAACCTTCTCTCCATATATATGAAAATATTAGACACTCCAAAATTTCCAGCCCAGTTCTGAGCCTCATGACAATCTCATCCTTTTGGAAGTTGATTTGTATGTGTAGACCTATATGTTCTGTGTACCTTAATTTTGTGCCAGTGTCAAAAGTGGCATTCCCTGTCAGAGTTCTGGTGTTGCGGTCTTGGTTTGGTGTTCCCACCAGCCCAACTCCCACCCTCTACATAGCAAATTCTTGATTGTTCTGATCCAGTGGCACCCAACCCACTCACTCCCCAGCCCAGGAATCTACATGGAAGAACATCTGGAAAGATTTTTTTATGTCAAGACTTTATGAGGACAAAACACAATTTATTAAGAGCTACTAAACCCAAACTCTGGAATGAAATCTACATATACTATAGTATACATTAATTCTGAATGAGTATATATTGTTTAAATTTGTGTATTTATAAATATTATACACAAACATGAATAATGTAACATCCATGTAAACATTTATATTAATGCATTTATAGCTATGTATTTATAAGCAGCCTAGTCTAGTAAAGGATTTATAGCTCAAATATAAATGATCCAGCAAATTTTTCAAAAGGTAAAATAATAATGATAATAAGAGAGCTGAGAGCCTGAGTGTGCCAGGGAGAGCGGAACCTCTGCTATTCCGAGGTCATCTCCATCCCTCCTCCCCACGGCCCTGGGATAACCGTCTCCCCTTTTTCCACTGTGGTTAGGGGAAGACTCCCACTCACATCTAGCCAGGTTCCTCTTCTTGTCTTGTCTCAGTTTTGCTTATTCTCTTCCACTCTTATACTGCTTGAACTTGTTCAAGAAGATCTATATCTAGGTGCAGCCTTCTCATTCCCATAATCATACTGTAGTGTCTGTTTTTCAGTTGACAGCAAGAGCTGAGGGAAATAATCCACCCAGCAGCCCCCAGTGACAATAACACTCTGAGCCTTTGCCTCCCCAGAAAGTTATTTCATGGCCCGGAGAGGTAATGTGAGTACATTTCTTCCAGTATGTTCATGAGACTCTTGAGAGACAGCACAGCATACTCTACTGGCTTTTAAAAATGCTCTCCCTCAGGCATTTTAAATAAAAATACTCCATTGGTGCATCCTCTGGCAGTAAGTATTCTCCAGATAAATTCTCTGGGAAGGCTGATCTTTACAAATGCTTACTGAAATGCTTAGAGCTCCCAAGAAGTACACTTTTAATGCAGGCTTTCTTCACATCAATATCCATGGCAGAAGGAGGCTGCTGGCTTTATCTAAGCAAAAGGCAGTGTAGGGAGACAATATAAAACCTTATCTTTGGTATTTAGTCTGATCAGTCTAGTGAGGCTTGAATTCCAGTTCGGTAGCTATTGATCTTGGGCAGCCTATTTAAAGTCTCAGTATGTTTTTCCATATGGTTATGATAAGAAGGTGTTTTAACAGTTAAATAAAATAGTGCAGGGAAAAGTGCTTACAGAGTATTTAGTTATAGTTAGCATGTAACAAAAATCAACTGTTCTGTGAACCAGAGCACATGCCTTCACTAATCTGTCCTGAGTTCTGTCTGCTCAGACCAAGATATGCTATAAAATGTGCTGGCTGAGGTGCTGGGGAGGAGGTGTAATTTTTTGCTCTTTTATCAGGAAGATAATTTCCTGCTTGAAGTTTGAGATGAAAACTGATGACCTGTTTCCTAGTTCCTTGACACACCCTTGCAATCACAACTGCTATACACCAGCACATGATGGCTTGACATGTGCCAGTTGTCTGTGACCTGTGTTATCCTATATGTTTCTGCCAAAAAGCCCAGGGCATGGAGATACGCAATTTCACATGACAAAAACAGCCATGCAAGTCTTCAAAAGTTACCCATCTCCATGAGCAAAGCCTTCCAAAAAAGACTTGCCATGCCAAGGAACCCCTTCCCTAACGCCACGTACTGGCAACTTAGCTAATTTTAGCCTAGTCCACAAATAGGGAAAATTAGAAATATAGACATACAAAATATCTTCTATCTTTCTGGCCTTTAAAAATTGAGGTGACTAATACATTATCTGAATTTTGTTTGACAGTTGGATTATAAACAGTTATTTTGATGATTGCTTTTCTTTATTTCTCATAATTTAGTTATACAATTCTACTGTTAAAGTCTTTTTTCCTCAATATATAAAATTAATACTCCAATGCCCTTAGAGAATAGAGATGCTCTCAAAGTTGAGTAATGGAACAGAGAGGAATTTACTATCAGTTTTAATAACTTTAATTTTATGAGCCTATTTCTATTCTACCTGAACAGCCAAGAGCTTCATGAGAAATATACTAATGTATGCTGACATTTTTCTGAGAGTAAGGGTCCTAAGATAAAAGGGGAAAACTTTACCAGAAAGTATGGAATACAGAGAAAATTCAATATGAATGTAGACATAAAATATCACTTCTTCTTTTTGAATATCAAGAATTGTCTTTGGAAGTTGCAAATGAAGCCTTAGCTAATACTGATGAGAAGTTTTCCAGAAAATATCAGTATTAAGGGACACCTTCATGCCTCTGTGATCAGAAGATGGAAGACATGAGGGTCAAACAGAGAATGTGGGAAGGGCATATGCAGTCAGGAGCCAAGCCCCATTTATTCCACCTCCCAAAAGCTTCTCCCATGTGTTTCATTTTTTCCAGTTGCTGCAGCAGTTGTCCTACTTACGGGCTCCATTACCTCCCGACTGAGCGATTTTGATAGCCTTTTTTTGTTCTTCCTAAGCCATATTTTAGATTACAGAACCATCCACTCACAAACCTTAAATTACTCCCCCATTACCTATCAGAGTACAAACTTTCTGGCCTTTGTGGCCCTTACAAGTCTCACAGCAAGCTGTCTTCCTACCTGCGGCTCACATTTCTCTTCTCAGGGAATTGTATGTTACTTACAATCTCAGCTGCATCATAGCCTACAAATCAGCCACCTGCTTCCCTGCCATCTGCCCTTTACTCTAACATCTCTCCACTTTAGTTACTCTCTGTTCCAATTAGGCCATCTCCCCTGAAAAATTGTCCCATTATTCAAAGCTCCTTTTAAATGTAGTCTTCTCTATAGAGC